CTTTAAAACCCGGCGCTGCGGGAGGCTTTGGTGACTCGCAGACTTTAAGCCCGGAGGTGCGCCGCGGGAGGAGGGCGGCTTCCCGCGCTCGGCGGAGGTGGCCGGGCACGGTCGTTCCGCGGTTTGGTTTTTGTTCCCCAATTACAACAAATAATAACAAAACTTTTTACGAGGTGAAAGTTTTCAACCACTGTTCTCGTCTGGCCCCCGACCCACTTTTGGAAGCGCGGGCACGCACGCGCGTACACACACACAATACACACACACACCATACACACCCCCCCCATACCCGCCCTCCTCCCGCACGCGCACACACACCATACACACACCATACCTGCCCTTCTCCCGCACGCGCGTACACACACACACGCTCTCCTCCCGTGCACACACACGCACACACACTCACCATACCCGCCCTCCTCCCGCACACACACACACACACCCGCCCTCCTCCGCCCTGGGTCACGAGCAGAGTTGGCCCGGGTCTAGTCGGCTGGTGTTTGGGGCATGAGCCCTGCCTTTGGAGGTATGCTGTTAAAGGCCACAGACAGGTACCATAAATTGGACCTATATTCAATCGACAAGAATGGCCTCAAGTGAACTTTTTGTTGTTGTCGTCGTTGCAGAGATTTAATGTCAAGTGGGTGCCCGTTTGGAATGGGAGCGTAAGGGAAACCACTAAATATCCTCGCAGATGACCTGCTAAGAGTGGGGTGGGATTTAACTCAACCAAGAGGCTTTGAGGTTTTGAGGATTATGTATGTGTAAGGTTGGTGAAGAAACAGATAAGATCCTGGAGCTTGGAATCAGCGACCTAAACATGTGGATGAGTTGTTCACATGGAATTATGCAAATTTTATATTTAGCAGTATGAAAATGGTTGCCTTTCTTGGGATGGATTTCATCTCCATCTGCTGGAAACATCTTGTTCTGGGTTATAGAAGTCTACTAGTGAGAGTTGTTAAAGAGAATAAGTGTAAAGTGTAATTTGTCGTTTTAAAATTAAGGCAATTGACTGGTGAATAGATTTGTGTAATTAAGGTAGAAGACTGACTCATTTATAGAATTGTTACTTTTGGAGCGTTTGTAGAAATATTTTATGTCTAAAACTCCATTACATGTTACTTGATCTGCAGCTAATTTTCTTTTGCTTAAAATGAGATTAACTTTATGGAGGGAGGACCTGGAAAGGTCATTAGTAATGGTAGCTTTTAAAGAAAGAAAGCTATATTTATTTTGAATGTTAAACATAATTTAAGGAATTCTTGAGATTTGGCTCTGAGACATGTAATATGTTGCAGCTTTTTACATGTATGATACAAGGAAATGTCTGGTAAACACTTAGCATAAGACACAGAGAATCGAATCACACCTGAAAATATTTATTTTGCATGATAGGATAATATTTTTTTGAGTGCAAGTTTCTTATTCATTTTCAAAATGAGAAAATTACATTGTACACTTTACTATCTCTAGCCCCTCTCCTTTTCCCCCAGTGTATTGTTCTGGGATCTGCTCAGTGATAGATTTGGTCTAATTGAATGGCTGGAGGGGGGGGAGCAGTCTAATAGTAAAAGATTAGCAACAGTCTACCTCCTATAGTAAATCCTAAATAGACATTGGTGTTCAACTTCTGAGTCTAAACTTCCTGATTTTCTTGAAATAGGCCAGTCTCACCTGCCCACAGGTGGTTAGTTTATTAATCCTGTAGTTTGTTCACAGTACTGAGCAACATGTATGAATGTCATACAGCCTTTCTGCTGAGGAAAGAAATCAGGTGAAAACATGGAAACCCAACTCTGAAACATCTGAGTTTGTAGAATGTTGGGCAGTGATCCTGCCAGAGTCTTGGTTTCCCCTAATTGTTACACACAAAGTAATCAGACTGGAACCTAGACTCAGTAAGTTAAGTGCTTTATGTCTTCATCCTCATGAGTGTATAAAATGACATCTTGTGTTGTGTGCATATGTCTGAGTTCTGGGGCTTGAACTCAAGACCTGGTTACTGTCCCTGGGTTTTTGTGATCAAGGCTTGTACTCTACCACTTGAGCCACAGCTCCACTTCTAAAAAGTCTTACAGACTTGCTTACCTCTACTGGCTTCAAACCATGATCCTCAAAATCTCAGCTTCCTGAGTAGCTAGGATTACAGGTATGAGCCACTGGCACCCAGCTAAAATGACATCTTTTGAAGGCAGTTATATCATGCTACCTTGGACTGATGGGACTGTGCAAATATTTGAAACAGCCAGTATTTATTTGTTTTATCCCTCTGCCAGGCACTCTTCTAGGTATTGTACATGATTTAATTTAT